TAGTTTTTCTTAATGGAATGGATACAGTCTATCATCAATTATTTTAAAACATTGGTTAAGATTTGATCTGTTGGCAACGTGTCAGCTAGCGGCTTGGGCAATCCTTGCAACTGCTGCTTTTCTGAAATCCCCAGTACGGGCAATCACTCTGTTTTACCTGGCACTGTTGTGGCTGCCAGAAATCACTTTAAACTTGTCAGACCCAGCTTGTCCCTGAACTGGCTGGGTACCTCCTCCCTTGCCACAGCCCTGCTTTTGTTGGGGAAATCTGCTCAAGTGAGAAGGGGAAAGGGTGCTGCAGACTCTCTGCCGTGGCTTTCCTTGGAAGAACCTGCTGCCTCTGATTTAAGCTGTGGCTGTTCTTTGGATTAGTTTGGGCTGGTTTGCTGAATTAAAGTAGATTTTCATAGAATCCCTTCTTTAACTTCACCTTCTCACTTCTTTACCCTATTATAATTAATGCATTACTCTAGCTAGTTTGTAATGGATAGATAAAGAGGTGAGAACTCACTGGATGTATATAAAACACTGAATTCACAGTATGCTCTCTGGGGCTTTTATTGTTTGAAGGAGTTTCGGAGCAGGAAAACATGCCCTAAATTCTTTGATCTTAAAGATGGTTTTCTGTATCTTAATATCACCCTGTTGTTACAGGGGGGGTTTGTCACTCATTTGCAGGGGAGGTCTTGGTGTATGTTGGTCTCTTCTGCTTCATTTACTAAGAAAATGAACTCTGAAGGATTTCTGCATCTCTTACTACTTTAGTAAGACTGTAAAGGAGTGTCTGTCTTCCCTGATCTTACAGGGCTGCAGACATCATACAAATATTTGTCTAATTCCACGTACACCCTTGTGGATCAGCATGCTGCATATGAGCTAACGCAATGTTTTAGCCGAGGAAAGGCCTGAAGGTATGGATTTTAGAAAAGGCTGTGGGACAGGGCCGAAAACCTTCTTGATCCTTTTAGTGCAAGCTCACAGTGGCAATACAGCAAGTCAGTTAGCCGTGGAAAGTAGCAAGAACTAAGAAAGGGTTTTTGTTTCTTCTTGTTCTTTAGAATTAATGTAGTAACATTGCTTGCCCCAAAGATGCCATGTGGCTTGGCGTCTTTCAAATCCAATGCAAACATTGAAGGGCAAGATAGAAATTCCCAACTGGAGACTGTTTTAGTTTTATTAATTTGTGTAAATGTGCTAAAACTTAAATTCCTCTTTGATTTATTTGTCTGTAGAGTCAGCTGACTTCTGTATGTACACATTAGTACGTGTGAGTGACAGTGGTGGATAAAAAGCAAAAAAGGAGCAGCTGCCTGCAGCTCTGAGAGAAAGGGCTGGGGCTGTTGCTGCAACCAGAACTTCTGGCCACAGTCCAGCATATTTTCATGAGGCAGAGAGGAAACAATAGAGCCACAAAAAAGCAGGAAAACTCCTTGCAGGAAAGGAAATTATACCAAGTGAGCGAGACTGCAAAGATTTTAGAGATATTGGGGCTGGGGGCGGGGCTGGTGTGAGGATGGGAGGTGGTGGAAAGAGGATTTTTTTTTAATGGAAATTGTCTTTCAGAGAGTCAGGACTTAATCCAGTTAAAATAAACTCGTGCTATTATTCTTAAATATAATCTTTTTGGATCCATATTCTTTCCTGTACACCACAGTAGGGATTTAATCTAAGCTGGCTTTTGTTACTGTTCTGAAGTGGTAGTATATTAAATAATTTTCCTGTTGCCAAACACCTGTTAACATTTTTAGTGGCAAGATGCATTGTATTAAAAGCTACTCAGTACCCATACCTTGGGGGGATCCTGCTTGGTTTGTTGATGCTGAGTATTCTGCTTTAGTGACTGTCTTGCAACTGAAACAAAGAACAGGGTTTTTTGCTGCTACGGGATGTGCTTATAGCTGGTTTAATGTGCTGAACTTGAAAACACTATACTACTGATGCTGGTATCGCAGGTTCCCAAATAAAGGTTAAAAAAACGCCCCAAACCCTTCCAGGTTAATCCTCGCCCTTGTGTAGAAGGGATTGGGGTGAAGGAGAACTCTGCTTAGTAGATTAATAGGTGAGTGTCAAAAGAATATATTCTTCTAAAGTACTGCGTTACCACTACAGAACAAGAAGGTCTGTTGGAAAGTAGAGGTGTTGCCACAAGCATGAAGACATTTATTACTGAGTAGTTTTAATGGAATGTTGTGGTCAAAAAGTGACAGTCTCCCTTTTTTTCTTCTTTTTTATTCTAGTTGAATGGATTGCTGCAGTGTCCTTAGCTGCTGGAGCCGCTGCTGTTGGGTATCTAGCTTACAAAAAGTTTCTCTGTAAAGACAAATGCCGCAAAGCAATGGTGAATATCCATATCCAGAAGGATAACCCCAAGGTAGTCCACGCATTTGATATGGAAGATCTGGGAGACAAGGCTGTGTACTGTCGTTGTTGGAGATCTAAGAAGGTAAGAGAAGAATAAATGGTCCAATTTTGTTCAGGTGCATGCATCTTTCAACAAAACTATTTTCGAACTACTTTATTTAGAGGAAACTAACTTTTTTTCACTTAAACTATTCTGCAGTGATATGTAGCAGTATTTTAATCCATAAAACTATGTAGATTTATGTTGTCACTCAAAGTAAAGCCTGCAGATCAGTGCTAATAGTGAACAAAATGTTTCTGTAGCTCTGAAGAAGCAGGTGCCCTGAATGGAGAGCCGCTGTATGGAGCAATCACAGTCATGAGTGACAGATACAATTTTGTGTGCTGCCTTTGCTAATACTGAGGCTTATACAAGTATAACTACTGGCCTGTTGGCAGTAGGAGCTCGGGAATCACAGTCTGAGAGGAGCTTAAACACCTTTTACTGAAGGAAGTTGGAAGCTTACTCTGTCAGTCCGAAAGTACCTTGCTACTAGTTCATGGTGTTAGTAACACAAATCCATTACGAAGTCTCTTGGTATACCAGAGCTGGTGTCAAATTGTCACTTGCAATGTCTGAGCCCATCATTAAATCTTGTAGACGGGGCAAGTGCAGAATGGTTTTGGAAGAGCCTGTCTTGCGCAGATGGTGTTACGGTGGTACTGGTACTGCTGTTCTGAATTTATTATTGTAGTACTGCTTTGTACTGTAGATAGCTACCTTTTGCCACATGAATGAGTACAGCGGTGAATTGTTTCCAGTGGTGATGGAGGTAATCTAAAAAGAAGTCATTGTGGTTAAAAGCTTTTGAAGAATCTAGACAGATGGACTTAATGCATTTGTGCCTTAGCAGTTCAAAATAGTTATATGGGTAATCCTTCAGTAAAGCCAGTGAAATCATGATGGCATACTTTAAGCCTCTGTTTTTGAGCAATTAAGAGTCTGATCCAGACACTGGTCCAACTTACTTGCGTATGAAGTTGGGTTGCCTCAGTTGCCTAAAATTAGTGGGAAGCACGATACCTAGGCTTTCATTAACACTAATACCAGATTTAAGTCTGGGGTAGAGGTGTGTGACATTTGACGTAACTGAGATCTCTATAATTTATCTGTAGTGGTAGTTCTAGGATCTGTAATGAGAGAAAGCGGATTGCCTGAGTAGTCCTTTCCATTTACCAGTGGCACACATTTAAAAGCTTTTTTAGAAGTCAAGGTGCTAATGTGTGGAGACTGAAATAATACAGACCTTAAAAGCCAGATAACTGAGGCCAACAGCCTTGAAATATAGCTATCTCTCCATCAGTGAACTGAATAGTAGACATCTCAAGCGTTAGACACGGGTCTAATCAGGCCACACTTTGCCACTTTCCAGGTACTGTAACTCTCGGTTGTTGCTGTTGTCCTATCTGACGTCATTACCTTGCGGGTGAAAATAACTCAGGAAGTTACACATTTGTAGCTGTATTTAGTTTAACACTAAAACACTACTGAGGATCAAACAGCATCATGACTTGATTCTGATATAGTCCTGTGGAGATGGGCTTGTCTTATTTAGTCTGTCCGGAGTCTGATCTGAAAAACAAAATTCTGCCCCCCCGCCCCCCCTCTTGCCACAGTGTGCTCCGTGGACTAAGTTACATGTCGTGTGATTATACAACAGGGAAGTGTGTACATTTATATGCAGTGCTGATGGCTGTACAGCATGCAGGTATCATGCGTGTGTATAGCAGCATTGCAGCTAAATCTTTGTGGTAAGTCTCAACTGACAGCCAGAATCCAGTATTGGAAGCTGTCGCAAGGGCTACAGCTTCAGAAAAGAAAAAGGGGGAGGAGAAAGGCTGCTCTAAGTATCTGTACTTCTTAATATTTGAATTTGGATTTACCTTGGGTTACAATAATGTAGGCACCTCCTTCAGTGCTTCTGCAAAAAAAAAAAAAAAGTCCTAACGTGGACCTTGGTGTTTGTACTTTCTGCTTCTTACTCTGTTTTCTAAACAGAAATGGAAGATAGTGTCTGGTTTTAATGGTTGCATTGCAGCTCCTGCCAATATTCTAGCTATTGTTTGATGCTGTCATTTTTGTGTGAAATAAAAATCTTAAGTAGTATGTTTTGGCATACATTGAAGGGGTATTGTCAGTTTAGGAACATACTCTCCTACTGAGTTAGGGCTCTAATCACACGCTAAAAGGAAATGGATGGGGCTACCTTATAATGAGTCCGTTATTAGAACTCTCATCTGAAAGGTCTTGTAGAGTCATTAAGGAGGTCAGTGGAAAACTTTGAAGGCATTTGTTTTCTTTTACTGATGCTTAATAATGAGTATTTTAATCAGCATGTTGTGCTTCAAAGACTGCAGTTTCCAGTTTTGCTGC